GAACGTCTCACATGCTCCACGCAACTGTCAATTACACACTGCTACCGTCACTTCTTGGCGGCTTATATATATACAAAACTACCGCATATCTAGTAGCCTCTCGAGACATCAGGAAGGGACGTGAACGTTCGAGAATATGACGTGTTACTAGCGTCACGTGACCCCCGCTGTCGTAACAGTATCAAACTAGACGTAAGTTCTTGAAGTTCTATCTATCGACTCGAAACTAATCTTGGAGAAAATTAAAGAATAGAAAAAAGATCGCTTCACCGCGGATACTAGAGAAGTTGAGGAGTGTGTTTCATTTAGCTATCTAGTGTAATCTATGGAGTTTTAGAGCACTGAGATAACTTACAAGTTATTTTCGCAAATGAAAATTCAAATCTGATTCAAGCAAAAATTAAACCTCCTTAGTTTAATGTCTTATAAATAATATTTACCAGTGGTAGGCTATCAAATGACACAGATCTTTCTCGTCTGACTACGATATGTGGAAACGTTACTTAGTGATGAATTTGATTAAAAAAAATGTCTTTCGTAGATCGCACAATAAAAAATTAATTGAAGTTCCTATCATCTGAATGGTTAACAATATGTTTAAACGCCGTGTAAACGAATGTACCAATCATAGGTTGGTGTTCTTAAAACATTCACATTCGTTCTACTATTTTAGTCAAATATTTTTTTTATAAAGATGTTAACAGTATTATGGGAAAGAAGCTTATTTTCTTAACTAACGCTTCCATTTCGTTTGGTTTTTGTGCTATACATATACATCTTGAATATGTATGTATCATATTGTATCAAGACTTCTTGAACCTACGTGTTTTTCTGACATCATGTACGTATCATTTATTGTACTGTACAGCAGTAAGTTTTGTCGATTACGTATAGTGAAGGCGTCAGTAAACTAAACACACGTAAAGTTAGTATTAAGTAAACAAACATTTAAAAATGTGTAAACCTACCAGCGGGTACTGTTTCATTAAATATCCTTTTACTTAAAATACCAGATAAGACTAATATATATATATATTGGTGTACTTTGGTGACAGATTTTCTTGTAGGCAGATTTTGTTAAACAAGACCGATGTCTGTAGGTTTACTTTCTTCTTAGAATTCTTCTCAAGAAGTCGACCTGCTTACCCATACCTATAAATATCCACCAACAGTAATCACAATTCACACAACATCCAGCCTTGATAATGGATGCATAACGCATTCGAAACGCGTCGGCCAACTCATCACTAGCTACAACTTTTAAGACGGCTTATCGACTTCCTGAGAAGAATTCTAAGAAGAAAGTAAACCTACAGACATCGGTCTTGTTTAACAAAATCTGCCTACAAGAAAATCTGTCACCAAAGTACACCAATATATATATATATATATATTTACACACACACACACACACATATACACATATGTAGTTTGTCCCATCTAAAAACTGACGCAAGTTGCCCCTTTAGTGG